CAACTGGTAAACTGGAAAAAAATAATAAGGGTGTCACCTATGCATTCCATTTGACTAATTTTTAATCAGTTTATACCATTTCCCTTAAAACTATTTGGCAATTAGAGGCCGTGCAATTAGGGATCACCACAATTAGAGACGACCAAAGACACTCATTATATTTCTACTGGACTATGTACTTGTCAGTGCACCGGGAGACATTTATTAGAGCAGGTACTGGTCATTAACAGACAGGCGATGGCATTTTTAACACTAGCGTGTGAAAGAGCTCGACCTTTTGGAGGTCTATTAAAAGAGCGTGTGACAGGTGAAAAAGGAGAAAAAGAAATGGTGGAACGATTAAGCAACAGAGCGGACGGAGTGTAGATTAGTCTACTTTGAACAGAGGTTTAGATTTGAGGGTTTGGGAACCTACATGAGGGACCATAAATTAAAAGATTAACAGCACACGGTACGTTAATGATGAGGAAGAAGCATGTAGATGCTAAATCAGAGATGACATATTTTGACTCACATTAGCATTAAGGCAAACAAACCATTATTCAACAAGCACAATAAAACGCCACCAATAACGCTAGAAGCATCAAATCCTTTTAACAAATCTCTCCATATGTTTATAGATCTTTATGCAGTTATTCCATCAGACGGTGGAGGTTATCTGACTTATACAGCATAAAAATTAGAAGCTATTATTAAAAGATGTGTGATTTTTGACCCTAATGGCACTGGGACTTTTGAGGATGGGATATGACAAGTTAAAATCTTTTCTTGTATGAGATTTTCCAGATGCTGTGATACAGTAGCCTAATGTATAATGATGAAATTTCATTATTAATCTCCTTCAGTGGGCATTACACCAACTTAATTACAAGAAAAATGAAGATGACCTCATTAAATATTGAAGAAGGCACTATTAAGATCACAGCACTAATCCTTTCCATCTGTTACTCAACAAATGAATTCTTGTAACAAAAAATTACATATTCATCTACTATGATATATTGGTAGCGTTTAAGTACAAATAAACAAAAATGTACTAGTCCTAAACTAAAAGCCAGTGAAATATGGGCCACTCTTTAATTAGTGGCATGTTTTAAAAACCTTGAAACATTTACCTTCTTCAAACTGCATTTTATCATCTAAAAACCACATATCTTGGAATAAACAATCAATGAACAATTTAAGTGGGTTTAACATGGTGGTGTGGAAAAACAAAACATAGCCTATAAGTAAGCAGACAATTAATTTTATATTTATACAAACAAAAAAAAAAGAAAGAAATGGATTGTTTCTGAATGAAAATTTCCATCATAAACCATTTAACATCGTTCGAAAGCCTAAATTTTTCTCTAAAATTATATTACAAATAATATATATATATATAAATTATATATATTTCTTTGTTATATGTACAGTACACTATAAACATTGTCAATTAAAATTTTCATTTCAATGTAATTACAAATTCTATTTGACTTTTTATGTAAAACTTCCCTCTTTTAACACGTTTTAAAAAATTAAACATAAAGGGGAAGTTAAAAAGTCTGTGACAAATCCAGATTTTGACCTTTAAAAAAATATATAGGAAAAAAGTAATTAAAGAAGCATAGTGAAAATTGAATTTACTCTATTCTTTTAATTGTTTTCCTCTAAAATGAAGAAAACTACCTGTAATTGAATCTTCATCCTATAAGAAAAGATTTAAATTATATCAACGTTTCTTTAGTTTTCAGTCCTGCTGACCTGTGACTTTTCCATGATTATCCACCTACATCATTTCCATTTCAGGAGGTACCAAAGGGCGCTAACTCACAGACCATTCAACATTGACACTCCTGGGACACTTTAGCCTCACACGTCTGAGGTCCGACAATGAGCAGACCGTCACAACCGCACCAGTCGGTATCAAGAGACCAGCTTTCACTAGCTGTCAAAACTAGCGCACAGATCAGCCAGATGGTCACACGGGCCTGCAACCAGGTACGGCAACATGCATGCCACACTCTAGAGGATACCCGAGATCCTTTTTTCTCTTAATTAGCACCCTAACATTCACAGACAGTCATAATTAGCAAACAAATGCTAATGTCAGGATCTGGTCTTTTTATCTTTAAGACGCCTTGTTAACCTGTCAAACCATGACATGTTTGGCGCTTCTCCATCTGTCTGTGGCTCTGTATTCACATTTGTCCGTGCGTATAAGCCTCCCAGAAGTCTCGTCTCTCTGCCCACTGTCTGCAGCTTTCTATTAAGCCATCTATCTTCCTTTCCTGCCCTGATCTTTCTGTCAACCAGCCTGGGTGATTCTGCCATACTCTGAACTGTCATGGCTACCCTTGCGTCCTTCTCTCAGCCTGTCTCACAATTCACTTGTGCACTTGAGCTTGTGGGCCGCCCACTGGGGTGCCATATTGAACATGGCCTCCACAATGAAGATGCGAGATGACTGTGTCAAAACGTGTTTTCAAGATGAAGGATAAAAACTATGATATATTTCACTGCTTATTTTTTCCATTTTGGTGTTGTTCCTTTACAGTTTCTCCTGTAAAATTACATATTTGTGAGTGTTTCTTCAATGATACTCACTTTTGTTAATGTGGGCTTAAACTGAATTCCCTTTAAAACACTCTTCTCACTAATTTAATTCATTCATCTAATAACAATGTCCAAATTATAATATAAACATTAAAATGATTTAAAATGACTATTTCAAGCTTAGTTTAGGTCATAGGTCTAAAAACGTAATATTTTTAGGATGGATTTTCATATTTTAATGTTGAAAACATCTGGATCTGGGCCAAGGTTAAATCAATAAAATCTGTACATAAAGGCATTTGAGTTTTTTTAAATCATAATTAATTACATTTTTTTTTTCTAATAATAAAGATTTATTTTTTTTTGTTCTGAAAAAAAACGTTTATTTCAGTGACTTACCAAAATGGTTTTTTTGAACTTTTCAAAAAATATTTGAACTTACTCCTAAGATTCATTTCTGAATGAATTAATGTTTTTGAATCAATAAATCACTTCTATTGGTGTAGCAATGTTTAAAAGGACAATCGTTTGTGAAGCTATTTTTTTTCATGTAGGAGTTTGATTTGAAAATACAGTCTTTGAGTAATCAGGAAGCTCTGCTTCATAAGCTATAACAAAAACAAAATGAGAAAATATGTTTTAATAAAAAAATTGACCTAAAAGACTTACCTAAAACACCCATATATCTATTTTTGTAGAATAGTCTACATCCAGTCTTGAGTAAAACTGCACAATTCTCTACTCCAAAACCTTTGAATTTCTGTGTACTCTGTGTTTTGCAAACTGGCCTATAATATTCAATAGACATGACTGTTTGAACATCATTTTGTCAGCATTCAAAAATAACCTTTTACAAATGAACATAAACCTCCTAATCCCAATGGACCATTGTCTGCTTTCAGATGACACTTCTGAGAATTCCAGTCTCTCAGCATCTGTCAAAAAATCTAGCATCCTTTTCACTTTTACATGCTCTGTACTTTCCATAGGTAGCTGCACAAATCTGCATGCAATGAACTCTTTAAAATCTTAAACGCTACAAAAATTGTGACTTGTGTCACAAATGGACTGCTGACTGTATTTTAGGTGCTTGGGGAAGTATCACTCCATTTGCAGTTTATTTGGTGTAGTGAGCAGTTAACCCACACATTCCTCTATTACATTTCAGGCCCTACAGAGGAGTAAAGCAGTGCCACCTGATGTGCTCGAAATGGACGTAATTGAGTGGACCGAAAAGATAATTAATGAGCAATCAATGAACATGCAATAGAAGGGGGCACGTACAGCGTGCAGGGGATTCAGTCTAAGAGTTATGAATGATTTAACAGGGGAAGCAGACTTGCATGACAATACAAAACTGTACCAGTTGGACCAATTTAATCTACTATGACTCTAATCACTTTTACAGGTGGTCCACTGCATTAAGCCAGCGGTTGTTGTTTTACAACATAACACCAGGCTTTCATTGCACAGTGAAATACAAATAAACATTTTATAGTGTGCTTGCGTAAAACTGTTCATAAAAGAATATGTTACGATTGCCTGTCAAATAAAAAGGTCCAAGAGTGTGTTTTGATCTACAAAGGTCATACAGTCACTTAACAACACTACAGATAAACCTTTTCTTGTCTCGCTCATTTCCTGCCTTCAGTATTTAATTAATGTAGAGGGAATGAATGGCTGAATGTGGAAACTGTTAATTTTTTGTACATTCATTATTTAACTGGCAGTAGACCACACCATGACAGCTCTGGCTGCTGAGTCGTATAGCACATTTTTAGGTGATGAGTGAGATGTAAATATGATGTTATTAAATTGTCAAAACATATGGCAATGCAGCTGAGATAGTTTGGACACACAGATAAGATATTAATGTCACAATTTTCCTTTTAGTCTTCTCCTGGTCAGCCTTGCAAAACAATACATCTACGTCCAATTTGCTTCCATCATATTTAGTGCGATGGTAATCAATTATATAATTTAATAGAAATTTTAATAAGAAAAAAAGTTCATAATCCAACTATTCTGAATCCTCTAAATGAAGTTGACCTTAGTGGTGAACTGAGGCAGGGAGAAACTACTTCCTACATTTGACTGCACACACAATGTCTATAATAAAGCCGCAAAAATGCAATTCTTTCATCATTTACTCACCCTCATGTCATTGTAAACCTGTATGCATGTTTTTCTTCTTTAGAACACAAAGATGATATTAAAAAAACAAGTTTTTTTTTTTGTAATGAAAGTTAATGAGGTTAGATGTTGTTTTGGACCCCATTGACTTCAATTGTATGGACAAATCAGGTGAAATATTCTTGAAAATATCTTTTGTGTTGCAGAAGAAAGTAAGTCATACAGGCTTTGGTATGATATGAGGGTAAATTATTACAGCATTTTTCATTTTTGGGTGAACTATCCTTGAGCCAAAGATTTCATTTCAACCACAAACCATGATAAATTCTTACCTGTCCGTTCTTCTTGAGGTCCGCCCACATACTGGTCCCATCTCCTCCTCTCATCAGGACATGGTATGTGAAGAAGTAGATACCAGGTAGAGGGCATGTGAATTTTCCAGTGCTGGGTTCATAGTAGTTGCCAACATTGGTCACCACATCATCAAACTTGAGCACATCAGTGCCTTCATGTTGCTTGCGCAGGCCTGCGTAAAACGCAATTTTAGGGCTGTAGAATGACGGCACGTAACCGCCAGGCCCAGGACCTGGGGGCCCTTGTGGACCTGGCTTTCCAGGCTCTCCAGGTGGTCCTCGTGGTCCTGGGATTCCCGGAGATCCCCGATACCCAGACTTCCCTTTCCGGTTTGGAAAATCAGGAGGTACGGGTGAAACAGCCGTTAGCTCCTGGCCGTGAGATGTGGTGTAGGGGTCACAAACCATCCGACAACTTCCTAGCATTTCATAATGACTTCCCGCATTACCAGCTCCTCCTCCTTTAGTGCTGTGGACCAGTAAAGGGATGGTGACCAGGAGAATCAGAACCATGGCCACACCCACGGCCGCTCCTATGACACGCTTGCGACGGCTGAGCCGGGAGACAGCAAGCGTTAGAAAGTCCTCCTCTCCTTTAGGTGGAATGGTGCCCGCCAGCGTGAAAGTTAGAGAAAAACTCGCTCAAGTGTGAAAGCAAATGTGGGTTTGGGTACAAAAGAACAGCCAAAGAGCCACAGATATCTACTGAGGAATGAGGCCAGTGGGGAGAAGGATAGAAGATGAATTTATGGATGAGACAAGGAGACTAAGAAGAGCGTAGAGCATACAGAAAGGAGAGGGTGTGATGGGACTAGTCGTAGGACAGAGTGGAGAGCAACAGGAAGATCTGGAAGAACGAATAGGGACAGTGGTGGCTGCAACACAAAGGTGTGGCACGGAAAAGAATAAAAGATGATTACAGAAACACAAGGTGGATCTTGGTCACCTAATATATGGAAATACTTGCAATACAATGCAATACAGTATTTTTAAAGTGTTGGAATTTCTTTGCTAATAACAATACAAATCTTTTCATTCATCCCCTTGTTTGTTAACATTAAATATACAGTGAATTCTCTAAAACACAGAAGATGCTTTGAGGTTTTCTTTTGCATAAGTGAACAACAACGAACTGTTTTTGGTTTTTCCACTTCAAAGGTATTGTCCACCTAACAAAAGATGTGCAATTGAGCAATTGCAAAATTCAGTTCATGAAAGGCTAGATGAAATCACAGTTATCTGCTTGCAAAACAAAATTCAAATGAAGTCCAACCAAACACCTGACAGATGTGGCAAAACAATCTGTCATCCAGTGTTCCACGTTTCAAAATAAACTGATCCTGTACAATGAAATTTGTCCAACGCCCTGCATCGAAACCTGATGAGCCACAATCTATTGATCCTACAGAATATTATTATTAATTTTTCAGGGACATATGAAGACCCCTGTAGTCACTCTGGCAGGACTGGGAAAATTCCATAGAAATAGAACTGGAGGAGAAAAAAACATGAAAAGACAATAAGGAAAATTTGTGAGGGCTATATTTTGTTTATATAAATATATATATAACACACACTCAAATTTATTTCCATATGACCAGTTTTATCCTAAATTAAACATGCTGAAAATTTTCTTTAGTTATTTCTTGCAAAATCCTAAATGTATCCCAAACATCTGTAATTTTATATTATTATTATTTTTATTTATTTGTTTATTTATTTATTATTATCATTATTATTATTTATTTGATCATAATGACCACTGAATTCCATAGAGGCCAACTGGCGTTTTTAAATATGCACAAATAAACAAATAATTAAATTAATACCATAAAAAAATATATATTCTTATACATTCAGAGAAGCACGCTGTGAAAGTATGACACAAGTGCGTAACTTCAAGTAGGCTACACCAAAAAGGCATTAAATAGACACTTACCTTCACTTCGGTATTTATGGAAGATCTTTAGGATTAAAAATCGTCCTCTGTTGTCTGTCCTTACATTCGCTGAGTTCCGGAACAAATTAAAGGTGAATGTAATTCATATGCATCTTCAGCAGACGAAGACTCCTCTCTTTACTTCAGCAACAGACTGAATCGCAGAATAACGATTTAAATGCTTTTCAAATAAGGTGAGTTAACTTAATTGAGTTGCGACTATCACTTATTTATTCCTCGGACCGTTACTGACTGCACGCGTGCGTGAAACTTCCGCTTTTGTCGTTCGTTTTGTCGAGAGAAATAATAAAACAGCAACAGCGCTGGACTTCTGACTCCGACACCTGTGAGATTTTCACACTCCACACACACACACTCACACTGTTTCCTCATTCCTCCATCCGGTCGACTCCTCCCTCCCTCCATCCATCCCATCCCATCTCATCTCATCCTCGCTCCTCTCACTGGCTGTGGTTTTTAGACACAGCCGCTGTGTTTGTACAACTTAATCATAATTTAATGGGGGAAAGTGGTGTAAATGTTAATCGTTTATCATGTCAACAGCCTGTTGACTAATGCTTCTAAAAATAAGCCATTCTATGAACAAAAAAGCTCTTGTGGTGGACAGCAAAAAAAATGACTGGGTGAAGCATCTCTATCTGTTTGGATTAAAGATGGAGCACTGTGATTTTTCAAGGCCATTGTGTGTGTGGCTCTGTTTCTCTAGCTTTCAGAGCTCATTAGTGAAGGACACTGAGACCATTGTGCTCTCTCTCGCTCTCTATCTATCTATCTATCTATCTATCTATCTATTAACAAACTAACAGATATATTGTATAGACCTAGAATAGCTGACAAATAGGCCTATTATGATGAATTAAAAAAAAATGTCAATACAACATTAAAACTGACTCGTCACCGATAAAATAGGCTAAATTAACACTTTCATTAAGAGTTTGCATAGCATCAACTTGCAGTCAGTTTGAAGGCTAATGCCACCAGTGTTTAAATATTGGGTCTGGTAGCAGATCCATTGAGAATTCAGTGTAACTCATCCAGTCTGCCTCCCTGACAGGACTAATCACACATCTGCATTTTTAATATTTAATGGTGGAGGTAGTAGTGGGGGGAATACATATTGACAGCTTTTTTTTTCTCTCGGCCACCCTTCTCTGCACCTCTTTCTCCGATATGACCAGTGCCAGAAGAGAGAAGAACGAAAGAAGTGGACAGAGAAAAGAACAGCCTGGAGAGAAAGCTGCGGAAGATGCTCCTCAAGTAAGAAGTATATGTGTGTTACAGTGTTGAGTTAAACACTATGTCACTCCCACCTTGTGTGTCAGTCAGTCTCTTCCATTAGAAATACACACACACACACACACAGTGCGGGTTTAACCACAATGGGTGTATAATCATTGCCAGGAGACATAGGCAATATAGTGAGAATTGGATTTTTAGTGGCTGTTAAAATATTACTGAGATGATTAATATTAAAAAATGCACATGTCTCTGAGCTGTCTTTCATTCGCTCTTCTTTTCAGGTCTCGTTTCACCATACTGTCTCTCTTTTCTCTTTCTCCTGTCATGTAGGGGAGAGCGGGGTAAGTTGTCAATACTGTTTTTGGAGGAGAAGCTCTTAAGCTGCTTAGTTGAGCCAATGGCACAGCCTATCCCCAAAGCATCTGGCACAGCTTACCCCACAGATACAATTTTGGTCAAAAATCTTTATTAAAATCCACTGCCATCTTTTGTCTTTTTTTTTTTTTGTCATGCACTAAGCTAGGCTTGAGAATTGTTGCATCTGACTCATTTTTAGCCTTTAAGTGATGTACCTTTTTCTACCACTGATGGTGACTCAAGAAACTGTTGATGGTTGTTTCATATCATGCGTCTGTAGATCTCTGTTTGGCTCTCATCGACTGTTGCTTGATGTGCAGCTGTTGAGAGTTGTATTGAATGGCACTAGGGAAGCAGCATCTGGACAGTTTTCTTGGAACAAAACGTAGTTCTATTCTTACCACACAGTGCTGTGGAAATATTGTGTGTGTCAGTCAGATCAAGCAGGCTGGTACGGCACTACGGGGACAGCGTGATCCAGTGGATGTTCTCCTCCAAGGTCTCTCTTTGTATTCAATCTGCAAGAGGATCACGTCACAAGTTAACCATGTAGTGCATTATGCAATGATAAATATAAGTCATTGTGAAATATAAGTTTACATTTGTGAGGTGTAAAGTCAGAATTGCTTTAAAAAATATATCTGGTGGAAATGGAAGGTGGAGCACATTGCATTGTGGGATACATATTCCATACAGTGTGCTCTGATGTACAATGTACAGTTTGGAAAATTTAGTAGTTATTCCATGCATACATAAAATTTGCTTTGTGTGCACAGTATGCATATTATATACTACAGACCTAGTAAGTGCATTCTGATGCTTTTTAAAAGAAATCACTTCATTATCTGTATTTAAACACTGAATTGATGGAAAATAACAAGAGAACCACAAGTGTTCTACACATGAATACATACAGACTCACTAATCATTAGCAGACACAAGATCCCACAAGAGTCGCTGTGACACTTATTGAAAAACGGATTCTGCGCATAGATCCACACGTGTCACTGAGTAGGTGTGGAGAATGATTTATACGCCTTTATTTATGTTCAATTTTGGTTAACGAGATTACCACTGGGCAGTAAAAAAGAAATTAGGACATGAATTAACACTCAGTTAAACAGGAAATATTGACAAAGTCTACCAAATGGTCAAAGGAGAGGTGACCTGACCTTTGCCCCGGAGGAAAAGAATGGATCTTGATCTAAAATATAACAGCCTAGATCAGTGCCTTTGAGGGTTATGGTGTTGGAAAAAGATTAATAAAACATCACAAGGTGCTGAAACAAATGCCTTTTGGACTTTCACATTGTTTCAGGAACAAGGAAATTGATTCACTTTGGCATTCATACAGTACAGTGAATGTGCATGAAAGGATGTAATTACCAGATGTCATGTCATGGAGAGTTTGTTTTTTGTATGCAAATGTGGAAAAAAAAAGTCTAGTAAATTCAGAAAAAAGGGGTTAAAGGTCAGTGACAGTGTCACTATATATGTCCATATATGTACTGCAAAAAAGAAAGAAAAGTATTATTGTCTTATTTTGAAGTAAAAGCACAAAAATAATTATTATCTAAATTATCAACATACATTTATAAAGAATTATAGGATCAAATATTCAAGATATATTAACTGAAAGCAGTTCTGAATATCTCTTGCAGCTGTGCTTCTTATATAAACTTAAAATCTCAATATCAATCACAATGTCTCAATATTAATAAAAAACATAAAATAAGATTCAAGATATATTCTCTAAATAATTCTGAATATCTAATGCAATTTAGCTTCTAATGTAAATTCACATTTTCTAAATAAAACAATAATGTCTAAACTACATTGTCAGTCCGTATATGTGCACTCCGAAAAAAAGTATTCATTCTTGTTTTGCAGTAAAATCATTATAATTATCTAAATTCTCAAAATAAAATTAAATAAAATATCTAAAGAAAAAATACATCTTAATAATAATTTAAGATATATTCAATGAAAAAATCTGAATATTATATACAATAGTGTTTTTAATGTAAATTTAAAATCTCAAAATAAACAAAAAAAAATTAGATTCTAGATATATTCTCTAAAAAAAATCTGAATATTTAATGCAATTTTGCTTCTAATTTAAATTCAAATTATCTAAATAAAAACAATCATGACTAAAGATGATATGATAATTAGATAAAATGTAAATTTCTAAACTTTTAAAATCTAGTCTTTGTGTTTAGATATTTCATTGTGAAATAAGAGAAAAAAGATTTTTGCAGTGTATGTGTATTCGATAGAGAAGGGGAAACGTTATAGGTAGGTGAGTCTGTATGTGTGTGTGTTTCTGTTGTGCTGTTTCATTAGACTCTGATCATGGAGCCTGATGCAGAGTGACAGTGTGTAGATTGAGTTGCACAGCCACTCTAATTCTCTCCATTAATAAGCATCGTTCCACACTGCCGTCCCGGACCACATTTATTAATCACAATTTGTCATCTGCCTTGCGCTCCACCCATTCTGTGTCTTTCTTACCCCCTTCTCTCTCTCTCTCTCTCTCTCTCTCTCTCTCTCTATCT